TACTGCATATTCCTACCAATATAAAATCTCATTAAAAGTACCTTTCAGAAAAAATATGTCCAGTCTCCTAAAAATACGACCAGTTTTGACTAAAGCAGGCAAATCCGGGTGGTGAAGCATAAGTTGAGGTCAGTCAATTGTTAGTTCTGCTGTGCTTTCATAAATAGTTATTATTTTGATGTCCGTTCATATGTGAGGATTATATGACTTGCTGTCACGCATCCAATATGAGAAATAGCCTTATTGTTCGCAGGTTCCACCTTGGTAAAGGCCTACATATGGTTATTTCAAGTGCAGCAGGCATGTTCAATAAGGAAGACATATGTGTTCTGATCTATAATCATGCGTACAATACGCAGGTGCGTTAAAGATATTGAGTCTTCACCGATTATCATTTTATATATTGACGCGCAGAACAGCTGCTTTGCTGGCAAAACTAACATTGGGCTTCATGTTCGAAATAGCTTGAGCAGTAAAGTGACATTTATAGCTAACAGTCTATTTGTTAATTTATGAACGATCATCAGTATTTTGAGAGATGAAGCACAGAGGATACGTTTCTTTCAAAAATACGCTAACGCCTAGGGGCGACAGTTCAAAAACTAAAGTTTATGGAAGGGAGCATTTTATTATACACCAACGTCTGTTTCGCAAACTTGTCAGCCTTTTGCTTTCCCCAGAAGTAATGGGTTCCAAACAGCATTCCACGAAGTGCGTATAAAAATCATTATACGATTTATGAAACATATCTATGTTTAGGAAGACGGGATAAACAGCCACAACATACTTCTGAAGTATTGAGGAGCTTGATTTATGTATCACTTACTTTGCAGTAAATGCACAAAAATAAAATAAACTTACCATGGTTGTTCGAGTTATTTGTTTTAGATTCAATACCTTTCTGTACACCTGGCTACCCCGAACGTTTGATGATCAGCCGAGGAAAGTGGCAATTTCTTGTATTAATATCTATCATTATCTTCAGATTTTACTTAGACGCAGCACGTTTTGGATCACGCAAGGAGTCCTCAAATATCATAAGGAAGGCATTCTATGTCATTACTTTTTTGACAGGAACGCGTACATGCGTTTTTGTTGCATTAATAAGGTTTGGCTGTATTGCTGGCTACCGCGTAACATAATCATGAGCCATCTCTCCCGAGTAAAATATCTGCTTTACAGCAAGTTTCTTGTCGATTGCCTGTGAAAACCATCCTTTCCAAAAGGACGAAATAAGCAATGTGATTTTTTCCTAATAATGCTTGAAAGCTCGCCAAATCAAAGCCATTCTTGTAACTGAAATGCATATAGCATAATTGCACCGAACCGTTGGCACACAGCAAGAGGAGCAATATTTTTAGTAGCCAAATAGACAACTTTTGGTTTAAGAATAATTTCTTAACGCCCAAATAATTTTGATTATGATTATTAGTTGCACTAGAGCTTGGATTTTCGAATCTATACGTCGTCTGCTATCCGCGTAAGCAAGGCAAAGCAACTATTTATGCCAGTTAGAAGACATCGTATAGGGCGCATAACCTTTTTAATAGATTTACACGATACCGTATGCTGCATGAGCGGCAGTACTAAGCTAGTAGTAATGGCTAATTACTAATGGGCATTTCACGATATTAACTATGCATTCTAAGAAAACTAATAGACCAATTTTGTAGAGCACGCAATTTAAAAAAGACATGATGAACTGCCAAGTTAATAAAAGAAAGGGCATGTGATGTGCTGTTTATAAAATATATTTTAACTCGGAGTGACATCAAGTATCGATGGAAGAAATTCAGGCTACTTAAGTGGCCCTTTGTTAAAGTAGGGTTTTTGCAGTCGGCCAGAAAGAAACTCGCACAAAAAACCGTCATCCTGGCATGATTGAAATTTACTGACCTTATACGACGTAATAACTGATATTACAAGTCACCTTACTAGTATTTTTTAATTAGGACTAAAACTACCGAATCACGGTTTTAGATTTTGTGAGATACCTCAGATGCTGTACAAGCGTATCTCTTCCAAATTGTTGACATGAACGTTCATTGGCCTTAGCAGTACTAAACGTGTGTCACATATTATGTTAATCGGACGTAGAGAAAGCTTAAAAAAACACTAGAGGCCTTGATAGGAAACCTAAAATTTTATTTTAAATAGCAACACTCTTTGTTATTTTCTCTAAGCAAAATGTGTTGTCACACTAGACTAAATGTGGCATTCTTAACGGTAGCTACGAAACGAGGTGATCTCTCTAGTCCAGCGTGACGAATTCGCTTTCCATTACAAAAACTGACGGACTGGAGCAGAGTCCACTTAATATGTCTTCATCAAATCCTTTTTCACGAAAGACTACAACATAGGTCCTGGTAAGATTAAATCAACATGCTGATTCGCATCGGTATTCACCGTAACCGTGTTACTGAACATTTTATTTGGCCTGCCGTCTCATTTCAGCTAAGGGAGTGTAACAACACTTTATGCGGTAGATACCGCGCTAGTCTGCTTTACAGAAAACAAATTCCCTCTCAAGTCGCGTTATATGTAACCATCTCCCTAAACGGAGTTGAGCTCTCTTTTTCCGATGGTCCAACTGCCAACTAAACTTTAACACAACATGGAACTGCATTTAAAAACAAACTACGGAAAAGGCAATAAGTGGGTGTTGATTACCCAGGCATACTAAGCATTTTGTTAAAAAAGTATATGTGAAACTAAAACGTAGTATAAAATGTTCAGCGTCACGTAGTATACGGGAACGAAAAACGGGGATCAGTTCAGTGTTTGAGAAACTTGAAATGATTCGGCAACATTCTGAGTGTTGGAAGATGTCATATTTTTTACTGTCCTAATTTTGTCCTTAAGGCATCCAGGAATAATCGCGGAAATTGTCGCCCGAAACTGCCGTGACATTGCACAGTATACGATGAAATTCGAAGGGTATGAGAAGACAATCAGCAGGTTGCAAATCTCTCGCAGCTAAAATCAAAAGGAGAAAAAGAAGCAGAAATAGTACCTGTTATTTAAATGCCGATAGCTATAAAAGAATCATACCATGCACAAGATGATGTGTTATTTTATAATGCCTTAAAGTGCCAACGCGAAAGTAGTGTCGACTATGGCAAAAGGCTGTCTATTTATTCAAATATTGGCCCATTGCTGTTGGCTATCCTTAGTCGAATTAGTGTTTGCATGCCACTACACCACATTTGTCGAGGAAGCATATCTGTCAAGTTAGATAACGACTGTCATTTCTTTGCTTTTACTGTAATTTATCCAAATGGGGAAGTGGTTTGCTATGGCGATTTAAAGTTAAAATTTTGACATACTATTCGACCATCGTATATTGTTCATATGACATTAAAAAGCAAAAACCTCGGCTTGTTTACTTCCCGAGAAACGTAATCCGCGGACATGGAGAAAATCCTTCGGAATAAACATTTTCAGGCACGATTAGGAATTTTAAATGAATAATTGAGCTTTAACCTGTGTTGTGAATACGATAAATAATTACGCAAATCTGCGCAGAAGCCTATTGTTTAATCTAAGATTTTGCTTTGTTCCCATTGATGACTTTCAGCTTAGACAGTTGCTTAAATCCGCCCATAAGCCTGCATAAAGCATCGTTTAACCAAATGTTGACTCAGGCAGGGTCGTGACGAAACTGTCAGACATTTTAATTAAACTCCTTTTTTAATGTACGTTTAAATGCATTTGCCGACATCCAAAATGGCAAAATAATGCAAATAGTATACATGTTGAACTAATACGCACTGATGGTTGCTATTCCCTTGGCCTCTTATAACAATGATCATTTTAATTGTGCAAATGCTTGTTTTGATCGATGTAAATAAAGTTAATTAATTTTGAAAACTGACGCAAACCATTTTACTTGCTAACCGACCAACAAAAATCAGTCAAAGCTAACGCCATTTCCATCGTCCCAGTGATCACAACACTCCAACGTCGTCATGCGGATAGCGTTGACACTATGAGTGCTAATGTCTACTGAGTCCCTTATAAACCCCGTGAACTCATTTTACTTTTAATGTCTGTGTAAGAAAAAACACGTGTTTGCCAAATGCATCTTTCAGGAAATGCATTTCCTAGTATAATCATTATTACGTTGAAATTTCTCGTCTTCTTTCATCTTTGTTAGGCACTATCAGCTAAATGAAATAATCAGGTTTTTAAAAGGTATTTGAAAATTTGTCAGTCTCCTAAAAGCCTGTAAATAAACTGTGAAAAATATAAAAGAAATGCAAAGAACTACAAAAATCCTGTTTGAAATTTGTGTCAAGAGGTTTAATATAGTGGTCCACTGCGACACACCCTGTGATAATCCTCGTTAAACTAGGGATTTCTTCACAATATATCTATTTGATTTCAATAATGGGTGATCCATGAAGTATAAATCATTGGTATTTGATAACCTATACTGCGGGAAAGGCTTTTGCGCGCAAAATACAATATTTGTTTGTAAGAAACGGGAATTGTTATAGCGTCAGGTGTAATATAGTATTGAATTCATTGTTCACCATCAGAAACATTGCCGGGAGTTATAATTAGTGGAAGAGAAAATTGTGAGCATTCATTCGATATATATCTTCACACATAAGTGAGGTTCAATCTTTAAACCAGTACGCAATCACCAGTTAGTAGTGTAACTGATTATGCAACTATTTCAGTAAATGATATAGCATGGACAAGAATCGACCTTTGAAGTCATGTTACCGACTGCTAAAAATGCAACAAACTTTTCCTCGTCTTCGGCTCACTGACAAGTTCGCTTTCATCTTCGTTTGGCGCGACGGCTGCGTTTAACGAATGTGCATTTTAAATTACCTGCAAGTATCTGCAAGTACTTTTTGCATGCAGCGGATGGGCGCTTTTAAAAAAGCGCGCCCTCCTTTTTACGTTACCTTGGTGCAAAGAGAAACACCTACTGTATCCGGTAAGTGCACTTAAAACACCTCCCCCACGCAAGGCAGTGAATAAGACTACTAAATTGCAGAAGAAGGAAGAACTACCTCCGCCATTCCCGGGGGTGGAGGCACTTTGCAGGCAATCATGACCGCATAGGTGACAATGAATACTGTCGTCGGAAGTTCCACACTCAGAAATATTCCCAGCACAACAAGCATAATCTTGGAGGTCTTAAAGGCGTCCCCAATTTTGTCCTTCCTGCTCGGACGCCTTTCCATATTCTGGTCCGCACGCATCAAAGCTGTCACCAGCTCACCCATCTTGCTGTTCTTCATCAGCAGTTGTTCACGTTTCTTGCCAATCTGGTGGAGTTCATAGCTCATGTAGGCTGTAAGCACGCAGAGAAAGACACTGGGACCTAGATGAATCGTCAGAACGCGAAGGAAGAGCAGAATGAAGAAGGTGCTTTCCGGCAGAGGAGTACACTTCAAGAGGACTGCTTGAAAGGTTATCACCCGGTTTTTCTGTAAGCTCTGAAGCTCACCGTTACCACCACTGGTATTGTTGGCCTCGTAGCAGAGGTTGATTCCCTCCTCAAATGTAGTCAAAAAAGCGTTGGAATGATGTATGACCGCGAGCAAAACAGTAAGACCAAGGGCAGCCCAAACGCCGCTAAATTTGCAGATGCAATGCCGCTGAATAGACAGTGGCATAGTGATGTAAATGAAACGCTGAATGGCCAGCAAGAGGGTGAGCCAGATGGACACAGTGTGAAATACTGTAGGTAGGGAGACGGAAAGAGTGTAGCTTGCGTAGGATTTAAAAACGGTCAGGTGGGTATCGAAGACGTCAGTAAAGTATAGGAGGTAGATGGGTAGGGGAAGAAGACCGGTGAGGAGATCAGCCATGGCGATGCCAAGAAGAAGGAGATTTGTCGGAGTTCGCATCGCAGGCCGAGTAATGGTGTAGGCCAGTAGGCTGTTACAGATGAGGGTTAGGACGATGGCAAAGGGTTGTATCCGAGTCTGCATCAGGAATGTAAAGTAGTGGTTGCGCGAGCTCAGACTTGAAATCGGATCACATCTGAGGGAGGTGTCCGACACGGAGAAGGAAGAGGAGTCACAGGCAAGTCGGTATTCAGTCTGTTGACTAAGGTTCGGTGAATTTTGCAGGGAAGCAGCAGTGAGAAAAAGGCGGAAAGTATTGTTGGAACCTGATGTTCCGTCGAAACACTCGGTTTCATCGGGTACCTGCGAACAAAAGTAAGGTTTCAATAATAAACCAATTATAACTGCCGTAATTAAAGGATTTTGTTTTAAAATTTGACGTTAAGTTAAGCCTACCGAGGTCTTTTGAGAACTTAAATGTTTACTGACGCGTACATCTAGGAGAAATAAAGGGTCTTTCTAAGTGTACTGGAGCCCAAACCCTGTTGTTCTACATTCATAAAGAATCAAACACAACGCACTCAACCACGTATAACTGCCGTCCATCTTTTGGGCAAAGTCAAACAAAAATTCCAGTTCTGAATATTGGATCTGAACATATGGAGCTCACGATGATTCAGGTATGTAAATATGTACAGTAGGAGAGAACTTTAAACGATGCAAACTGTTGAACCGTTGCTATAGCGAAAAAGCCTCTACTGCTCGTGTTATGGACGAGAAGGGGATTATAAATCAGACGATGATTTGAACTGTCACTAATCATATCGAAATAACTTAATCATTACTTTTAAATGTAATTTGTACCCGATGTGAAAATAACAAACATACTGTTTTGGAACTTTTGTACCAAGTAGATCGTATTAACAGTGCCGTCTGATAGACTAAGCGGTCATTACGTTTAGAAAAGTAAATTGTCTTCCACATGCTTAAAAAAACATTAATCCCCCATTCACAGTCGGTTTTGGAAAAATTACAATTTTTGAAACGGCGATGTTAAAGGAAATATTGAGAAAACAAGATGGGAAACTGATCGACATAAATGATTTATTTAAGCAAACTTACATCGCTACGAAGAAACATATATGAAGATGTATTGGTCGGGCAAATCATTTCTGTTTGCAGCTTTTAGAGTTCATTTGCTAATGGCCAAGCGTTCTGGCAGCTTTCTCAATGAGGTCCGTTTTATATCCTAGAGGTCAGCAGTACACCAGCTCTAGGTACAGGTATGGGTATTCAGAAATATAGAAACGGAATAAAAAATGAATTCGTCAAGTTCCATTGGGTCGGTGGGAACCAATGAAAACTAGACTACTATTGGCTTAGTTAACCGCTGATTGGAGTAGAAAAACGTATAAAACGCAGGTAAGGATGCTGAACAATTATTGTAATGTTTCTTTAAAATAGATGAATAAGTATTTACAAGCATGCAACGTATTCTAACTTAGCATATGAAAGTGGACTGCTAGGTTATTATGCGGCTTCACTTAGGTACTAATCACCACTAGAAGGTCTTGGACTTTTTCAAGCAAACTATATTCCCACGATTTTCTAGTTTATTATTCGCTTTGAAGCATGCTGTTAATGAAGTCTCGCACCCACATTAGTAGTGATTTATAGTAATTATCAGTAGCTGCTCAAATTCAACCCACTTAAAATATGCATTCCTATGGCGATTTAACCCCAGCAACTCAGAGAAAAGTCTTCGTAAAAATCAAACCTGATTCTTGTGCAACTAAAATATATAAGGAATGCGAAACGTTTGGTGAAATTATGGGAGTGTAACTGAAGTTCCTGATCCCACTTTTATTATTTATTGGCCCGTCACGGTCTAGACGAAAGTCTTTCCTGCGCAGAATATGCTCCACATTTGCTGGACAAAGTGTTCATTCTTTGCATTAAGGCGAGTTATATTAATAAAAGCCATGCAAACGAAGTCTAAGTTTGGAAAACCATCCCTTATTTAGAGAGCATTCATCTTAAACCAAACAAATGTCAATCAACATTAAAATAAAGGGAAAATAACTTATTTCTTCCAAAAAAGTACTGTACAGTAATTTCAGAGAACATGCCTTAGACGGAACTAACAGGGTTATCGAAGATTCTGGCTTCACTTAGCAGTAAAGCCGCTTTTAAATGTAAACATATCAATGTATTCGGCCGACTAATATTACCTTAATCATGCACACATGTTTTAGGCGCAAAATATTGCTCTAGTAGCATCCGTTGTATGATCATTCAGGAAAAAACTGCGTGGAGCTTCAAATCATAACCGTCGATTTTTAAATTCTTAGATTGTCGCTAAATTGGAAAAGTAGCAAACATCAAGGGGATCTTTATAGACCCATTTATATTAATGGAAGAGCTGCTTGGAACGTCCTTGATATTAGTGTACCACTCGTTGGGCAAAATAAGAATTTAATATTTGAAATAAACGGAATAAATGTGTTACCATCGATCAATTAAGCGCATGATAATGGTCCTCTAAGGTACTCTCCAATTGTACTTAACGTGTCATTAAAATGAACAGTATTAAAATTGAAATTGGAAGTAGAACTATACGAAAAATGCTCTATTTAACTAAAAGTATAATGGTCAGGCGAATTATTTTGTTTATTTTTTCCGAAATACACCTGTCCAGTCGGGTCGGTTTAGAAGTGTGATCAAACAGTCACCCGGCAATAAGCGTTTTTCGCCAACGTAGTCGATCACAAAAGTCCTACAACGTCAGTCAGAGTTTGTGAATTTTGGCAGAAATCGCAATGAAACAGCGTTTATTATAAAATTACACTCAAGACAGCGGACGAACAACTTGTCCGTCAGAGCGTCTAGCAAAATACAAGCTAAGAAGTCCTCCCCTTGACCGTAATAAGAGTCTTGGTGTTGAAAGACAAGCTCGTTGCTTACACACGTCAAACGATTACCTGATAGTTGCTTTCCAAGCTTACAACACGATTCTCTGTTAATCTTTAGATGCATAACATGTGACGATACAAAAAATGTGATATACACACCTTTTGTAAAAAAGAGGGTTAATTGTACGACCAATTTGCTTAAACGGAGGAAGTGTCATGAAAATCGTAATCACGAAAATTCAGCTTTCTCCATCAAAGCTTGCTTAGTTTTGACTATTGGATAAAATGTTATTTTTTGTTCTATATAGCATTTGGAGCAAATGTCCGATGTCTGGTTACCGAAAATATTTTTAAACATTATTCTTGCAATAAGATACCCTAAAAACCTATCTAAAATAGCTTTCTATGAAGGGCATTAAAGAGCAACGGGTCGCAGACTTATTCTTGGTATCTATTTTGTCAAAGTGACTCACCATTAATACGGTCATTGTGACCTTTATTAACGTTTAATTTTTCGTTCTGGACACGACAGAATGATTTTTTTCGGATTATTCAGGGCTTCCCACGCATTTGCCGAATCTGGTCAGTTTGAATGTCGTAGGACAAGGTGAGTGGATCAGCAACTGTCTACAAAATCCGACAGTGTGATGTGAATGTAAATTTTTTAAAGACCTCTTTTTCTTTTTTAATTTTTAAAAGTCATCTTTTCATCATTAGACATAAGTTTCCAATGGCCACTCTGGTAATTTTGCTATTTTTAAGTGCAAACGAGCTCTCCAAAATATTGCAACCGGAGTTTCATTAGCAACGCAACTTTGATTTGCTGTCAAAACACATCTTGTTAGTGTTCTTTTGGTGACGATGTGCTAACAAATTCAGCCTTTATTTGTCTACTATTGCAAAACAATGCCTTCGGGTAGAGGCAAGAGTGACTCGATTGTCTGAAGCAACTGCTGAATTTAACAACCTATCCAGGAGTCGCCTTCCAAAATCACTGCAGCTGTAACACGTGCAGTTGAGGAATGCACCAAATGCGTCATAATTAGCTTGCCTTTAAGGAGGGATGTGGCGTAAATTACGAAACATTATCAAAACGTATACTGCTCTCGAATAAAGTCGGCACGAGTCGGCCAACGGTAAACATTATTAACTGAACACCCCAGCTAGCAAGAGTATTTTAAAATATTTTAAGTAATATAATAAACGTCAAAATGACAAGTTTTATAAGAACAGCCAAATTTTGAAAGGAGATGGGTCACGCCAATGGACTAAGCCTTTTAGTAAACAGTAAAACATGCCAGGATAGCATAAGTAAAGCAATCCCTAAAAGAGTCTTTCATACGGTTCACGCCTTAGTGTGCTCCACTAAATGACATATAATTGGTCAAATTTGCGACTGAGATTCCAAAACGGCTTAACGTGAATTAGAACAAATTTACCCTTTTGCATATCTTGTGATATGGCTCACTGAAACAAATAAGACTACGCATTGTCTCTTAAAATATTAGCGCATATTTAAAGCTTTTAAGTGTTATTAAGCACTTGTTGAACAATATAAGTCCCTTCGATTGTAGTATTCTAAACCTTTACAAGTCGGGCGTTTCGTAAAACGGCGCAGACATGACGAGCTTTTGGGCAATTTGTTAACGCAAATAGCCATTTGGTCATGTGCTGATGCTCGTTCAAACATGAAATGTTGTCGCTGACAATAAAATTCCATTTCAGCAGTTTGCAATGTACATGCTATTAACTTATGATAAACATCTTCTGACCAGGAAACTCTTGAAAGCCTGTTTTTCTGTGTTATTTCGTCGTCACGTATGCGCATACGCCATCTCTTTTGTTTGGCGAGCATCTCAACTCCCCTTAAAACGATTAGGATGCCTCCGCGGTAACCACAATTACTGCTATTTTCCCTTTGATTGGAAATATTTTTGCTATCTCTGCCATCATCTTTTCTTTGTTTGCAAATAAAAAGTACACAACAGATTGCCAACATATATTTTAAAAATTGCCGGAATTACTAATAGTTCGAGGATGCTTTTTCTAATTTATATATCTGCAAACATTTTAGAAGTAATTTGTAGAATATTCGACAATGCCGGGAAAACATGGTTTTGTCTAAACAAGATGTCTTCTCTAACCCAGATTGCCTCTTTTTTTGGGCCTAAAGGCACAAAACCGTGCAATGGCCGGATTTATAAAATCAAACGACTATCCCTATTTAAAATTGCGGGGTACTTAACATAAGTGTGCACTCGGTCTGCCTTACACAGACGGATAATTGATTTTCCTATGAAAGGCAGTTTGTAGGCTGTGATTATTTAGTCTACAATGTTCTATTATCTTAGAAAAGTATTCACGACCTTGCAGCCACAGCCGAAAATATGTCTTAATGTACGACAACGTTAGTTTCTGCACGGGTTAGAAATATTTCTCCTAATACAATTATATACGCTTGTACTGTGCATAAGCATAGGTTATGCTTCTGAATGGATGAACAACTGCGGGCACCGCACAACATTTGCACCGCGACAGCATGATATTCCAGACTCCTGTCATAACGTCTTATGAGCTAAACAGCGCGGCGGTTCCACTTCTTTTAATGACAGCCCTATTTGAGGCTAAACATATACAATTCGGCGCACAGATGTGCAGTTATTTGGCTTCGTGTATGCAAAAAACCTAAGACGCAGCGGCCGAAAAATAAGCCATATCTACACCTAAGAGGGATAGTTTGCAAGTATTTAAAAGTACTAGTAAAAAAGATACGTACTGTAAGGTACGGATGAGAAGGGAAAGAGCTGACATCTAAAACCTCTTTCAGAAAACCACTGCGGGTTTCCAGGTTATCTTAAATCAGATTGGCAGAAGAGCGGCAGTAAAAGTCAAAAACCTCAGTCGGACGAACCAAAAAATAAAAACGTCAACGCACCAGACCAACACAAAGATTGTAATCAGGCAATGGGGAGTCGCGCAAACTTAAGCTGCATGTACTTAGGTCAGCTATAATTTCTTTAAGCAGAATTAGGCCATTTTGGTTATAACTGCCCGACTGTATTGAAAACATTATCATATCCTAGTCAACGTTAATTAAACTCAAGAAATTAGTGACTGTTTCCAGTAAGCATGTGCACCGCGCTACCTTTAGGAGCTGCTTATTTACATCTTGATTATTCAGGTATAGTATTTTAAATTGTATTATTCGATTGTTAAAACGACAGGTTC